GCGTCCTGGCTACGCTGAGTCTGCGCGACTGCAAACTGCAGGAGGTGGGCGCGGGACCCCGCGGGGTGGGGCCGGCGGGGCCGCTCGCGGTGCGAGGTGGTCCTGGGGCCCACAGTGGGAGGTGCATAGAAGCGGCGGGGTCAGCAGTAGGTGGCTGGCAAAGTCCAGCAGTAGGTGGACTTTGAGGAACGCGGGCCACGGGGGTACCCAGCCAGCTGGCTTGCAAACTGCAGGTGGGCATGAAACCCAGCGGGGAAAGCGGGGCCATAAAAGAGGAACTGTCAATGAGGAAGGTGAGTCTAGGACCTGACAAGGTGGGGCTGGCCTCGTGCTAGGACGCAGGAGCCGTGGAGCCAAAGGCGAGAGGGGAAGCTCGGTTGAGGGGCGGTGTCAGGGGCGGGGCCAACGGCCGAGGCCTACCATAGGGCAGGGACCGAGAGGGGAGCCACCCAGAGCGCAAAACGTAAGGTGTGCCCGGGACTAGGTGGGGCCAAGGGCAGAGGCGGAGTCGGCAGGGGTCGGGACTAATGGAAGGACACGCCACTGAAGGGGCAGGGTCTTCAGAAGACTAGGGCTCGACCAGATAGGCGGAGCTGGGGGCGCAAACTGGGTTTGACAATTGCAAGCAGCAGGAGGCGGGTCCCAGATCCCTGCCTGGCACCAGATTAGGGGAGGGGCTAGAGAAGGGGAGGAGACACGGGAATGCAGCTGTGTCAAAGGAGGTGGTGTCCAGGGCGTGGGATGCGCGTGGTGAGCGAGGCAAGGGGGTTCAGGCTGGTGTGGGCTTTTCAACCCTGCGTCCGCCCTCGCTCAGGCCAAGTTTGAGCTGATCACGTCGGAGGCCTCATACATTCACAGCCTGTCGGTGGCCGTGGGCCACTTCTTAGGCTCAGCTGAGCTGAATGAGTGTCTGGGGGCCCAGGACAAGCAGTGGCTGTTCTCCAAACTGCCCGAGGTCAAGAGCACCAGTGAGAGGTGAGAGAGTGGTCTGTCCTCGCCGGGGTCAGGGACCGAGCCTGCAATTGACTGGGCCCCCAGGTCTGAGGTCTCATCCGGGTCCTGGCCCTGACCCCCTGCTGACCTTTCAGGTTCCTACAGGACCTGGAGCAGCGGCTGGAGGCAGATGTCCTGCGCTTCAGTGTGTGCGATGTTGTGTTGTACCACTGCCCGGACTTCCGTCGCGTCTACCTGCCCTATGTCACCAACCAGGCCTATCAGGAGCGCACCTACCAGCGCCTGCTGTAGGGCTGGGGGCTCTGAAAGGGGAGGTGGGGGAGGATAGAGAGTCTCAGGCAGCAATAGGTACAGAGGATTGGGTGAGGAGGGGTGACCCGGGAGGGGAGGGGTACTGGAAAAGGGCTCTGTGACCAGGATGAGGCTAGACTCAACCCCAAAGGACAGGAAGGGTGTGCTGAGAAGGCATCTGAAGAACCAATGGGTGGCTGGAGTCATGGATCCCAGGGGTCAGGTTTACCTGTGATCGCAGACCCTCCCCATTCTCCAGCCTGGAGAACCCCAAGTTCCCCGGCATCCTGGCTCGCCTGGAGGAATCCCCCGTGTGCCAACGCCTGCCCCTTACCTCCTTCCTCATCCTGCCATTTCAGAGGATCACCCGCCTCAAGATGCTGGTGGAGGTACCCGGAGGGCACCAGGCTGTGATGAGGGCTGGGTGGGGGAAATGCTGATGTGCCCCCCACAGCCCTTTCTGGGCACCCAGGGCTGGGCAGTGTCACTGGGGGAGGTCACAGACTGCCTCATTGCACTGACCCCACCCTCCAGAACATCCTGAAGCGGACAACACAGGGCTCTGAAGATGAACACATGGCCACCAAGGCTTTCAATGCACTCAAGGAGGTGAGCTCGGTGGGGCAGGGGGTGTCTGGCTCCCAAGGGCCTCCCCAAACCCCTGAGTGTCTCTAGAGGAGCTCCAGCCTTCGGCGTCTCTGGTCCCTAGGTGGGAGCCTGAGGCTGGGCCAGGGGAGCCAGGGTTGGGGGCTACGGGGGTGCTGCAGGTGTCCACCTATGGCCTCCCCAGCTGGTGCAGGAGTGCAACGCTAGTGTGCAGTCCATGAAGAGGACAGAGGAGCTCATCCACCTTAGCAAGAAGATCCACTTTGAGGGCAAGGTGCATACCCTGAGCTGGGAGATGGGGTGCACGAAGGGGCATCTCTTGTCACCTCCTTCCCTGGGGGCTGCAGGCCAGTTCATCAGTGTCCACACCCTCCCATCCCTTGCCCTGTGCTCCCTTCCCTGCTGCCCTGGCCTGATGTGTACTCCCCCTTGCCTCCTCCATCCTCCCAGATCTTCCCGCTGATCTCTCAGGCCCGCTGGCTGGTTCGGCACGGGGAGCTGGTGGAGCTGGCACCGCTGCCTGCAGCACCCCCTGCCAAGCTGAAGCTGTCCAGCAAGGCGGTCTACCTGCACCTCTTCAACGACTGCCTGCTGCTCTCTCGGAGGAAGGAGTGAGTTGGGGTGTGGGGCGGGAGGTAGATTGAGGTGGGGGTTCCCTTCTTCCCCACCACTGGGCTCACAACCAGTCTATCACTGGGCCCAGGAGCCCTCGCCTGTGTCAGGCTGTGCTGCCAGGGTGCCCTGAGCCTTGGAGGCTCCCCCAAGAAAGGCAAAGATCAGGCAAGTTCATCTTCTGAACCTGAATCCAGGGTTGGACTATGTGAAGAGGACTTGAAGCTGCTGTGAGCTGAAGCCAGTTGGAGCAGAGATTAGGAGCATAGCCCTAGAGTTCCAGCTCTTCCCTGAGTCATAATGATAATCACCAACATTTACTGAGAACCTGTTCTGTGCCAGGAATGCTATGTGGGTTGTTCCCTTTAGTCCTCTAAACATCTTCCTGGGAAGTAGGCTCCCTTGTTATTCTCAACATCATGGAGCTAGTAAGTGCAGGAGCTGGGAGGAGGCCAGGTCTGTCAGATGCCACATCCCAGGCTCTTAACTACTGTACTATCCTGTCTTCCATCTAGGAAATAGAGACTACCATGTAGGGAGATTCAATGTGATAATAACACATGAAGAGTTTAGCACAGTGCCTGGCACATACTGATACTCACTCAGTATTAGCTGTGCTTATTATAAGTTTAGAATGAGGGAGAAGTCTTCTTAAATGAAGTAAGACTTAAGGCTGGATGGGATGAAGGATGGACATCTTATGCTATGGAAGGAGCTCATTTCTGATTTATTTGTTCATTCAAAAAAGCATCACTGAGTCTTTGTTCTATCCTGGGCTGTCCAAAGGGTGCTGGTGACATAGATGAATGAGACTTGTCCTCTGTTCACAGGAGCTCTCAGATCAATGAAAATACATCCTAGTAACCATCTGTTCAAAGTTTTGATGGAAGGGTATACTGTACTGTAATATCCCCTGATATGGGATGAGAATCAGTAAAGCTTCACAGAGGAAGGGACATTTGATTTGGGTTTTGAAGAATAAGTAGGAGTTTTCCAGGTAGAGGAGTTTGAAGGGATATAGCTAAGTCACAGAAGAATATAAGAGCAGGATGTGTTTGAGAGATGATGAAGCCTGATATGGCTGGATTTGTAGAGGGGAAGGGCAGGAGAGGGAAGCTGGGATATTGAAAGTCATGGCAGAGAGGTTGCACTTTGTGAGGGCAGTAGGGAGCATGGAGAGTAAAGCAGAGGAGTGACACTTTACTCCTGGCCGATTTGGAGAATGGTCTGGAAGGGGGACAGGAAGAGACAGGAAGCCCTGGTAATTGCTCAGATGAGAGTAGATGCTCCAGAAGTGGTAGGGGGCTTGGGAACAAGTGAATCCTGGGGACAATAAGGAGACAGACAGATAGGATCTAGCTGCTGGATGGGTGTGAGGGAGAGGGAGGATAGAGCTGAGAACGAGGACTGAGTTTCCTCTTGGGCAACTTGCTGGCATCCTTCACTGAATTGGAGACAATGAAGGGACTTGGTTTGAAGTGGGAGATAATGGTTTTATTTAGATGGGTTGAGATGAAGGAACCTATGGAACATCCTCTCCCCACCCACCCATCCTTCCCATAAGGACTTACCAGACCCAAACAGCGGGCCTGGCCATGTTGGGCACTGGGATACAGTGGCAAATAAGAGACAAAATTCAGCTTCTATACCAGTCAGAGTCAGACATGAAACAGCCCATACAACTCATTAAAGGAACAGCCCAATTGGCTCTTTGAAACAGGGGCTCTGGGGAGAAATTCAGAGAGAAGTAGAAAGCGTGCCTGGGGGTCAGGGACTGGTCTCCAATACCTTCCACCTCTGTCAGTGAGCCAGTGAGAATGGAGCTCTGGATTCCCTTTAGGGTCTTTGCTGGCTGCTGGGGGGCAATGCCCTGTGCAGCCAAGTTCCCTTAAGGGGGTCCTAGAGGGACCAATGACCCCTTCTCCTCCCTGCCAGTGGGTGGGGTAGCTGAGAGCCTGGGCATGGGCCAGGCTGACCTGGCCTCCTCTGGTCCTGCAGACTGGGCAAATTTGCCGTTTTTGTCCACGCCAAGATGGCCGAGCTGCAGGTGAAGGACCTGAGCCTGAAGCTCCAGGGCATCCCTGGCCACGTGTTCCTCCTTCAACTCCTCCCCGGGCAACATGCAAAGCACCAGTTCCTGCTGAGGGCCCGGACGGAGTGAGTGGGCCTGGGTATGGGGAGAGGGGACCCCTCAGGTAGGCACAAGGCCCTTTATCTCTGGCTTCAGGATGGTGGCATAAGGCTGGACATGGGCAGAGCTGGCACCCAGGGTGTTCTGGACCAGTTCTGTTCTTATGCTCAGAGCTGGATGGGGCACCAGCCTGGGAACAGGGCTGTGGGGGACTCTGGGGTAGAGAGGACATGGCCTGGGTTCCAGATCTGGACATCATACCCAGTTCTCCCAGCCCTGGTTTCACCACCCTGGCTCTGGGAGACTGCAGTTTGCATGTTGTGACAACTCAGCCTCCCTCTCCGCAGAAGTGAGAAGCAGCGATGGATCTCAGCCATGTGTCCCTCCAGCCCCCAGGAGGACAAGGAGGTCATGAGTGAGGGGGAAGGTAACAGATGCTACCTTCCCCTCCTAGGGCCACATTCTCCGGGCTGGGTACCTCATTGCTCTCCCATTTCTTTCAGTCCTGGGTGCCATGTGGCCAGCGGGGGGTGGGGGGGTGGGGAGGGAGATCAGCTGGCTGGGAGCAGTCAGGGGCAGCTCTGCGAAACCTTGAAGGACGGGCAGGATTGACATAGGACAGACCAACCTCCACGCACAGGCAGCACCCTGGAGATAACATTGCCTTTTACATCCTCCCATTTCGTCCTCTCAGAAGCCCATTTTACAAGTTAGAAAACAGAGAGTCAGAGAGGTAAAGTGACATGTCCGAGTTCAGCTAGTAAGTGGCTGACCTGGGACTGGAACCCAGGTCTGTCTCTAGCTTTGCATCAGTGGCAGAGAGGACAGGCACCAGAGCGGTGGGGGTGTGCGGGTGGTGGCGGCAGGGCAAGGGATCTGCTCTGTTAATACAGAGGCTTCTCTAGGTGTGAAATGAGGCTGGTAAGCCAGGGTGCAGCCCAATCAGAGAGCAGCTTGATACAGTGGGGACCAAGTGGCTCTGGAAGGTTTTTGAGCAGGGTGTTAGGGCTGAGCTAATGAAGGAAGGAAGGGAACTTATTTCCATGTGCCAGGGTGCTGGGGGCTTTGTATACACATTTATTTTATTTAATCCTCGTGACAGCCCCATTAAGTAGAACCATTTTTCATATCTGAGAAAACTGAGGTCCAGTAATGTTAGGTAACGTGCCCAAGGTCACACAGTCAAAAAGCTGGGATTCCAGCCTGGTCTGGCCCCAAGGCCTGTGGTTTTCCTGATATTCTCAGCCCACCTAGTGTGGTTGAAGGAGCTGAGGGCTTGGATTGGAGCAGATTCTCCGGTTTGAGCTAAAGGTCTTGTTTGGGCTGGAGGGTTAATTTCCCACTCCAAAGAGGTGGTCAGGGAAGGTCCTTGAAGGATGGGAGTGGTGGAGCCATGAAAAGATCCAGGGAAGATCATTCCTGGAAGGGGGAACAGCCAGTGCAAAGGCCCTGGGGCAAGAGGGAGCTTAGAGTGTTTCAGGAATAGCAGGGCAACAAGTGTGGCTGGGCTTCATGAGCAAGGGGGAGGGGGGAAGATGAGGGCAGGTGAAGGGGTTAGCAAGGGGGCAACCCCAAATCATGCAGGGCTCTGCACACTCTGGAAAGGACTTTGGATTTTATTCTAAGAGAACTGGGAAGCCCTGGAGGGTGAGAAATGGGGGAGTGATGAGGCTTGAATCCCAGTTGAGAAGGATGGACTGGAGGGAACACCAAAGTAGCATCAGGGGGCCTATGAAAGGACCATGGCTGTTTGTGGGGCTGTCTGGGGGCAGTTGAATTGACCTGGAGATCACAAGCAAAACATTGAATTGAGCTGGGGAGATGAGAGCCCAGGGCACAGAAGCAGTAATCCAAGCCAAGAGGAACGGATTCACCTAGAGCTTGTGTTTAGGGTGAGAGAGGAGTGACCAGGGTGGGCAGAGGAAAAGAAGCAGCAGCGGCTACCCTCCCACCCCTTATTTCCTCCTACTGCCTCTCCCTGCCTCACCCTGCCCCATCCTCCCCTGGAGACTCCCTCACTCTCCCTTGGGCTTTCAGACTGCCCCCAGGTTCAGTGTGTCAGGACATACAAGGCACTGCAGCCAGATGAGCTGACCTTGGAGAAGACTGACATCCTGGCAGTGAGGACCCGGACCAGTGATGGTGAGACGGGCCTCCTGGGAAGGCCTCCCTGATGGGGCTTCAGTGGGCAGGAGCTAGATAGCTAAGACTTCACAGGAAAAGGTTATGCAAGTGTTGGTCATCCACAGCATGCAAGAATCAAGTTAGATAAGAGGAGGAACTTCCTGCTTGCAAAAATGTAGGATTGAGAGTAAGTGATGGGGGAGAGTGGGAAATCCCTCCTCAGAGGATATCAGGAAAAACAGGTCAGAAGTTCATCCACAAGTCTGCTAGAGGCATGCTCCTTCCTGAAGCTGGGAGATGCTGAGACGATGTCGCCTCGGCCACAGGGGTGCAGACGAGGCTTGAATCAGTGTCTAGGTGTTCCCTTGCAGACCTAGCCCCGGTGTTCCTTTGATGCCACTGATGCTGCTCCCGGCCTGTGTGCTCTTAGGCTGGCTGCAGGGGATCCGCCTGGCAGATGGTGAGAAGGGGTGGGTGCCCCAGGCCTACGTGGAAGAGATCAGCAGTCTCAGTGCCCGCCTCCGAAACCTTCGGGAGAATAAGCGGATCACAAGCGCCACCAGCAAACTGGGGGAGCCCCCCGTGTGATGGGCAGCCGTGGCCTGGGACACCAGCTCCACACTCGGCTCCCGGACAGGTCTGGAGGCGCCTGCGGTGCCTCCATGCCCCAAGCTGCTGCTGCTGGGGCTTCTGTTCTGAGGCCTGGCATCGAGGGTACAGGCTGGACACAGGAGGGGTTGTCCTCGTGCTCCTCGGCGTCCATGATTCAGAACTGAAGGTAGTTTCTTCCTCAGGCTTGGGGGCCACGACATGTGACCTCTGATGTCTGGCAAGGACTAGGGCCCTCTCCTTTTCCTGCTCTCGACCCTGCCTGACTCTGGGCCAGCACTGGTGCTGCTGGGTGCTGGGCCTATATGTGTATGTATATCTGGAGTCTTCTGGCCTGAGCCCGTGTGGGCCCTGGTTGCTGTGACTTGTCTGTAAATAAACTCCCATAATGCCTTTGCTTGGAGTCTGTGAACCATTTGATGCTGCCTCCACTCCAGCCCCGTTTGTCCAACTAAAAATCAGGAGGGTCTCTGGCTACCTCCCAGTGGGGATTTGGCCTTCTGCAGAGTTCACCTCTAAACCAGAGGAGGGTGAGAGAGGGGCTGTATATCAGTTAGACCGCTTGTGGCTGCAATTAACAAAATATCTGATTCAAATAGGCTTAAATATTAAGGAGAATTTGTTAGTTCTTAGATTTATTTCTTATAGCTTCTTTAACAAATAACCGCAAACTAGGTGACTTAAAACAACAGAGGTTTATTCTATCACAGTTCTGGAGGCCACAAGTCTGAAGTCAGTATCACTGAGCCCAAACCCAGTGTCAGGAGGGCTGTGCTCCATCTTATAGCGGAGATGTGCTCTAGGGGAGAATTGTTCCAGCCTCTTCCAGCTTCTGGTGGCTGCCAGCCTTCCATGGCTTGCGGCTGCATCACTCCAATCTCTGTCTCCATGGTCACACTGCCATTTTTGTGTGTCTGCCTAATCTCCCTCTGCCTCTCTCTTATAAAGATACATGTGATTGTATTTGAGGCCCACCTACATAATCTCTCCAACCCATAACCCTTCATTTAAATCCTATCAGCAAAGAACCACCTCCCCTCTATCGTATAACATTCACAGGTTCCAGGGACTAAGATGTGGATATGTTTTGGGGGGCCATTTCTCAGCCAACTGAGAAGTGTAGCAGCAGGATGGGTTTCAGGTAAGGCTTAATCCAGTGGCTAAATGATGTCACTGACATCCCAGCTTTTTCTATTTCTCTGCTCTGTTGTTCTTGGTATTGGCTTCATCCTAAGGTTTCCAAGGGCTTTTTCATTCACATCCAGCATGGAAGAAGAGAATTGTCTTTGTCCTAGCAGTCCCTGTCAAAGTTCTGGGATGCTTTAGACCTGCTTGGGTCACATGGCTACCTCTGGGCTGATCACAGTGGGCAGGGAATGGTGTCTGCTAATAGACCTAGCCTAGGTCATATGCTTTATCTCTGGAACCAGGTTATCTTCTCTGGAACCCCATGGATCCCGAGGTGGAATCTAGTGGCTGCTGCAAAGGAGGGATAGATGCTAGGGAGGTCAATGTTCACTGAAACCTGTCACCTAAGAAAGTGAAAGGATCTGGGAATAATGGATGTGGAGATATGAGCACACTTGGGTGGGAGAAGGAGAGGAGCATCCTTCATCTCTCAAAAGATGTCAAAGAAATCAGATGAGTTGAGGTGGTCCTAGAGGCCCAGCATGGGCAGATGGGGAGAAGCTCAGACCCCTGAAGGAGGTTTGGGGAATGACTTTCTAACACGAGCTGGTGCAGGGAGGTTGGAGTGCATGGGCTCAGGAGCCCTACCTATTTGAATTTGACTTCTGGTCCATTCTACCCCGTGTGATTTTTAAAAATTAGAACTTTTACTTTGGAAGACTTTGAGATTCACAGAAAAGTAGCAGAATCGTTCAGAGTTCTGTTCACCCCTTTCCCAGTTTCCCTAATGGTAACATCTTAAATGACTATGGAACAGTTGTCAAAACTGAGAAACCAACACTGGTACATGACTATTAACTGAATACCAGATTTTATTCAGATTTCACCAATTTTCCCACAAATGTCCCTTTTTTGTTGTTGTTCCATGATCCAATCTAGGATCCCACATTGCATGTAGTCATTACGTCTCCTTAGCCTCCTCTGATCTGCCACAGTTTCTTAGTCTTTCCTTGTTTTTCATGACCCTGCCAGTTTTGAGGAGTTCCGGTCAGTATTTTGATAGACTGTCTCTCTGCTTGGGTTTGTATGATGTTTTGCTCATGACTGGGCAGGAGTTGTGGGTTTGGGGGGAAAAGACCACAGAGGTGACCTGCGCTTTTTGTCACATCATCTCAGGAGGCATGTGATGTCCACGTGACTTATTACTGGTTATGTTAACCTTGATTACATGGTTAAGCTGGTGTCTGCCAGTCTTTTCCACTGTCAACTTACCATTTTCTCCTTTTCCTACTCTGTTATTTGAAGCAAGTGGAGCCCACACTGAAGTCGGGGGGAAGGCAGGCTCCTCCTTCTGGAGGCCATATCTACAAATATTATTTTGAATTCTTCTGTAAGGCAGACTTTTCCTCCTCCCTCCCCAATTTATTTAATCAATCATTTATTTCTATCAGCATGGGCTAATGCCTTTATCTATCTTAAACCTTTGGGTTGTAATTCAATGCTAAATTATTTATTTTATGGTTCAAATTGTTCAGCTTTGGCCATTGGGAACTCTTCCAGATTAGCTCCTGTGTCTGTTACATCCCCCATCCTTTTGTTTGTTTGTTTTTTGAAAGTTTCCTTACTTTCTGGCACCACATGACGTTCTATGCTCATCTTATATTTTCCCTTTCTTAGCACCGAAATCAGCCATTTCTCTAAGGAGCATGGTTCCTCTTACTGGAGAGTGGTATTTAGAAACTAAGATCTGGGCACTGGATGTGCTCATTGCTTTTGGGGTGCCACTGTTTCTAGGCCCACCCACTGGATAGAGGTAGGAAAAAATATATATATATATATGATTTTAGACAAGATGCTTAATGGCTCTAAGCCTCAGTTTCACCTCTGCAAAATGGGGATGGTGATAATAGTACCTATTTCGTGGAGCCATTGTGAAATAAAGTACATAAGGTTGACACCATAAGAAGGCTGTTCCATAAGAAGTTGCAAAAAATGGTAGCTTTTATTGAGTCGCAGCTGCAAAGCCAGGACAGGTGGGCCCTCGTGAGGTGGTGAGGCCTCTGTGTCTTGAGGATTTAAGGAACTCTGAAAGTCCAGGAACGATATTCCTGCACTGAGTAAAGCCCAAAGGGCCTCTCTGCTTCCTTCAGGGCTGAATCTGCGTGGCGAGAGCCAAAGTGGGCACCACGCTGGCAAAGCAGAGGAGACAAGCTCTCCTCATTCAACCTGCCCTGGCACAGCTGGATTCTGGCCACCGCTTGAGTCTGGGCTAGGCTGCTGGGGGTGGGGGTTGGGGTATGGCTGTCTTTAGGGCCATGTTGCCAGAGAGGCCAGGCTGCACAAGATCCTATGGGGCCCACTTCCCCTCTTCCCCACCTGCCCAGGAGGTATATTCCGGGGAAGGCATCATGGGGTGGCCCCTCTCTCAGTGGTACCTGCCTCTGCCCAGGAGGCTCTGCCCTGGTACCTGGCCTTGGCCAAGGACCCAGGGCCCTGCCCCTGCTTACTGCAGGAGGAGGAGGCAGGCGGGGGTGGTGTTGGGCAGGACAGATGGGCGGGCATGTCTGGGGCAAGGATTTTGGCCTGAAGCTGTCTGCTCAACTGGTCTCCAAGCCAGGTAGCTTCAGGGGCTCATCTCAACGGCCTCCCACCCAGTGCCAAGCCCCTTATCAGCAGTGACTGCAGAGCCTCTGTCCTCCACCGCTGCCAGTAGTTCTCAGACTCTAACCTATGGCTTAGAAGACTTTATCCTGAAATGAACTGTCGAGAAACGTATTCAGCTGTTCCTTTTCAGGGCACAGTGAGGTTTCAGGGGGAACCAGGAGCCAAAGCTTTCGCCCCAGCAGGCACTTACCTCCGGGGCAGCCAGCGTGGAGCCCACAGCATGGAGATACTCACCTGTTTCTTTGTTCGTTCTCTCCCTCCCTCCCTCCTTTCTCTCTCTCTTTCTCTTTCTTTTTCTGTCCTTCTTCCCAATCCCCTTCATTCTCCTCTCTCGTTTGTGTCTTCTGTGGCGGGGGTGGTGCTTGGACAGCACCCTCTCACCCTAACAGGTGAGACAGACAAGTGGACAGAGGAAATGCGGTGGCCCCCACACCGCGCTGAGAGCTGGGAGGACGCAGGGCAGCAGGAACAAGCCTCCTCTGCTGGCGGAGTATAAATTGGCACAGCTACTTTGGAAAACAGTTTGGCTGCATCTGCTAAAGCCAAGCACATGCCTACCCTCTGACCGAGTAATTTAGCTTCTTTCTTTGCATTTACACCCAACAGAAATATGTACATATGTGCCCTGAAAGACACGAACTAGAATGTTTATAGCAATACTATTCATTAATTGGCAAAAATACTAGAAACTCCCTAAATGTTCATCAATGGTAAAATGGATAAATTATCAATTCACACATGGGAACACTATACTGAGAATAAACCATCTGCAACTGCGTGTAAGGACATAGTCTAGGAAGAGGACTCCTTAGATGATTGTATTTGCATGAAGTACAAAACCAGGCAAAGTGAATTGAGGGGGTAGAGATCAGGGTAGGGATGCCCTGGGGCAGGACTAGTAACTCTTGGGGAAGGAGTCTGATGATGCTGTTTACACAGGCTATTCATCTGGGGACAATCCATTGAGCTGCCCACAGATCTGTGTCCTTATGCATGTGAGTTAAACTTTAGCAGAACCTTTACTCTGGTATCCTGGTAGGAGAAACCCTGGGGCTGTGGGTGCACAAAGAAGGGAGCATCCAGCTCTCACAGGTCATCAAGGCAGACTTCCTGGAGGTGGTGTCACCCAAGCTACATCTTAAAAGCTGAAATGGAGGTGGCAGGACAAGCACATAGCAGAGCAGAGACCCAGGATTTGCCTTCCTCTGGGAACCAGCAGCTAGAGAAGATTTTTCTTTTTGGGAAAAAAGGAGTCGGCGGCTCAAGTCCCTGACCTGACATTGACTTTGGCCTGTTCCTGCTTTGCTTCCATTATGAGAGGGCCCAAGGATGCTTCTTGCTCCAGGATTTTTTCTGGATTTAGATGGAAACTCGCCTTCTGATTCCAACAGAGATTAGCTATGAGCCGGAGCCTCCCAGTCTTAAGGATCTATGTGGCTGGAAAATGATCCTTTCTTCAGATGAAGGAAGTTTGGCTAAGAAAGGCCTTTGGGATTTGAAAGTTCATCATGGAGGTGTGAGTGGCAGGCCTTGGACCTGACATTCTTTGAGCACCTGCTGTGGGCCAGGGACTGCAAGAAGCTCTGCCATCCAGTGACTCCAAAGA